ATGTGATTCTTTTCTTTCCTTTTATTTATGTGGTGGATTACGTTGATTGATTTTCTAATGTTGAACCATCCTTGCATACCTGGTATGAATCCTACTTTGTCATGGTGTATTATTTTTTTGATATGATGCTGAATTCTATTGGCTTTAAAAACAGATTTTAATGATGTCAAAAATAATCTTAAAAATCCACTTAAAAATCAAGAGTGTTATATCACATGTACAGCAGTTTTGGCTAATACATACTCGTGCATGTGCACACACACACACCCTCAAAAGGTAAAGATAAGTCTCTTTGGTTTGCACACATATTTACCACCCTGAGATACAGCATTTTCTGCACCTAGCTTTATTCAATCTACCTGTTAGAGCCCTGGTGATGCAATGGTTAAGCACTTGGCTGCTAACCAAAAGGTCAGTGGTTGGAACCCACCAACTGCTGTGCTGTAGAAAGATGTGGCAGTCTGCTTCCATAAAGATTACAGCCTTGGAAACCCTGTAGGGCAGTTCTACCTTGTCCTTAGGGTCTCTATGAGTCGGAATCAACTTGATTGCAACAGGTTTGGGTTTGGTTTTTTGCTTACTTCTGTATCATTAAGGAAGAGACCACAAAAAAGATAGCAATCATGTGAGTCCGCCTAATGAGAAGTGTCCTTTAAATAGATGAAATGATAGTGAACCCCTCAATATAATTTCAACCAAGAGTTACAGAACTCTTCTAAATTTACTGCTAGAACTAATGAAAAGTAGCAGAAACAACTAATTTGGCTATTTTTCCCCTCCCTTTCCTCATCACTGTCTGATGGAGACGCTATAATTAGCAACGTAATGAGAAGTGAAAGGAAAGATGGTAAACAAGAAGAATTAGTCCCAGAAGAGGCATCGAGGGATGGAAGACTGGAACAGGGAAACCCGGCTGAGATTAAAATATTTTCTGTATCTGACCAAATGGTGACTGAACCCAGAGTTCTTATACACAAGCGTTTCTAGGCAAAGAAGAGGGAAACTGTTGGCAGCATTGCCTTTAGCGGAGCTGGTTTGTGCCTAAACTCTGGACACTGCTGCTATGTGTGACTAGTGTGAAGGTTTGGCTCTTTATGTGGTATTCAAATTATCAGAACTCTCAAATATCGGATCTGTTTTTCCGCACTTTTAAAGATAAATAATTGGCAAATAAGCTCTTACATATCTGTCCTGGGTAGCTTAAAAACATACATATTTTATATATATTTATTTTAATAGTGTCAAAAGTAACCTTAAAAATCAAGGGTGTTCAGCAATACAAGTGCTGAATAAAAAAAAAAAAAAAAGCCTGCCACCTCTGCTGGATAGGCACAGTTTTGTACACTTTTTTTGAGATTATGTAAAAATTGCACAACAGACCTCATCAGTATAATATAAATTAAAAGGCCAACTTTTTCCTGGCAACTGTAAATGAAAAAATATATGGACTAAATAGCCCTGTTTTGTCCTGGCCACAGTATATTGTAACCTTTGTCTAATCATTGTTTTATTGGCTCACTTCTGAAGTTTCACTTCAGTGAATGAATTTCATCATCTGTGACATGAGTGAGATAATTATGGGAGTGGTAAGAATTATGACTTGAATTCTCTTGATTACATTGCACACAGAGAGTAGTCTGCTCTGTATATCCTTCCCTTTTATAATGTGCTTTTCACATTGCTGCAGACCTTAGTCTAGGAAAAAGAATATTTCCTAAAATATAAAACTAAGGTATAATCCTTCCCTTCCCTTTGTCTCTCCCAGAAATATGTTGGAGGGAATTACCTGCACTCTGGAATTTGAGCAGAAAACTTAAATTTCCAGGCTTTTTAAAGCACAGAATATAAATAAAAGCTGGGAAAGTAAACCAAAATCGTTAGGATTGCTCCTCCTGAGTCTGCAGCTCCCAGGAGTGATGAGCAGAGTAGTAGAGGCAGTACGCAGGTGGACAAAGCTTCCTCTCCATCCTCCTCTTCCTCTGTCAATGCTGAAGGCGGGGCCTTTCCAGTCCTTTCACCCTGCCCTTCCCCCAGTCCCTCCTGACCCAGGGATGGAGACTTTGAGTCCCACAGCGTGGTGATGCAGAGCGCTAGCTGTCACTGCCTGGTTTATTTAGAGGAAATGCAGCAGGCTTCACTAGAGTTCTGAGAAAGTTGATTATAGAGGTCTTGTATGTTTTTACCTTGGTCAAGTATTTCTCACATATTTTGTTATCAGAGTACCATTCCAATCTCTTAACTTGCAGTCGTGTGGAAAGCTGTTTTGTAACGAAAGATCTTCATTGGGGGACTGAGCAGCATTTAATAAAGTCTATGTTTGTATTTAAAAAAAAAAAAAAATCAAGAGTGTTGTATCTTTTTTAATTTTTTTTTAAAAATTTATAATAGATTTAAAGGATTTAGAGCTAGAAGATTCTTTACATATCTAATGCTAGTCCAACCATCTTCATTTTATTAATGAAGAAAACGAGACTGAGAGAGGTCAGATTGTTCTAAGTTTAGCATTAAAACTAGGATTCTTGAGGTCCAGCCTAGTGCTTTTTCCAGGGACTTCCAGGACAAGGACACATTATTCTGCCTGTATCTGTATGATACAAACTGCTCTCCAGGAAGAGAACCTTGAGGCCTGGTGAGCTCCTGAAGTGCTTCTGAATGTTCATTACTTAATGTCCATTACTTTCTATCACAGTTCTAATGTTTTTAGGAAGTAACCCCCTTTTCTCAGATAACTAGAATATTTATACCTGACACTCGTTTCCCAACCTTTTAGAGTGAATGGAAAGATCCTATATGTATTCTGCACTCTAGGAGTCCTGGGTGGTATAAACAGTTAAGTGCTTGACTCCTAACCGAAAGTTTGATGGTTCAAATCCAGAGACACCTCGTAAGAAAGGCTTGTTGATCTCTTCTGAAAGATCATAGCCATTGAAAACTTTGTGAAGCACAGTTCTACTCTGACACACATAGTCATCATGAGTCGACTTGATGGCAACTGGTTTGGTTTTTTGTTTTATCCTGTACTCGAAGCATTGTCGTTGGCTGCTTCAGTTGATCTACTCTAAATAGAAATCATCTTGTCCCTTAAAGGCCACATCAGAGGCAGTGTCTCTAGGTCTCATCAAAATGTACCACATCTCTTCCCTTTTCACTGTATGTTTTAGGTAAAGTCCACTTTAAGTAAAATGTATCTAAGTCTTTAACTTTATGTTCCCTCAATTATTACCTTTTATAATATTCCTATGCTTGTTTGGCTTATGCTAGTAGTGGGAGTAGAATTTTTTAGTGGCTCACATGTCAGTGATCGTCCCACTTATGTACAGGGCAATAGGAATTTTTGGTCTTGGGGATAAAGCAAATGTTTCAGAAATCATCTCCAGATTATAAAAAGTTAACAGCTCTCCTGATACCAGGATGAAACTGTAAATAAAAGTAAAGAAATAATCAGAATAACTGGAGTTAACTTTCCTAAAATTACAGAATAAGGTAAGGGGTAGCCGCATTGCCTGCAAACAGCTAGCTTGACCAAGTATTTTTGCTTTGAATAACCTCAGGGAAAAAGAGTCAAAAATACCAGAATTTTTACTGGAACATCTTTATTTTTCAAGCGCGATTTTTCATATTTCTTTTGATTGATGATTTCCCCCCTTTCTTTCTGCAAAATTAAAAAAAAAAAAAAGATCTGTGAAGTTACGGTAATATATTAACAGCTGCCACAAACCCTCTCAGCATTCTGTAAATGCAGCTTCTGGTGTGAAATCATTAATTGTGAACTGTGTTTTTTGTCTTTCAGAACAAGGAAAAAGCAATCTGCATGTAACCTCATTAGAAGATGCAGAATGTCGCAGAACCAAGGAATGCCTTTCTAATGGTAAAGGTCACATCTTAGTTTCCAAGTCTTCCCACAGTATCCCAAGAAGACATACTCTAGGTGGGCCCCGAAGTTCCAAAGAAATCCTAGGAATGCAAACATCTGAGATGGATAGGAAGAGAGAAGCTTTCCTAGAACATCTAAAGCAGAAATACCCTCATCATGCCACAGCAATCATGGGCCACCAAGAGAGGCTGAGAGACCAGGTATGAACATTAGTCTCTGCAAAGCTCATGCTTTAATGAACGTGAAGGAAAGCAAAATGACCTCCAGTGTAAAGGGGAAAAAATAGTTTAGGGACCGTGCTACCATTTAGTTGTTCCAGATCTCTTTTCAAGCTTGGGAGGAGGAGGCAGGCTATAGAAAAGGTTTGACCCGAAAGCTCAGTCCTGTTACCAGCACAGCAAGAGAACAGGATGCCAGAGGGGAAAGGCCCAGAGAGTTTGCAATTCCCCGAAAGAGCATTCCCGTGTTGAACCACAAATACATCTATCTACAGTGCAGGCAGTGAAGAAGTAATTACTTTCCTGAGTAAAGCGTGGGACCCACTACTCTGCAGCCCCATAGTCCTGACAGTTTAGCACAGTGAATGAATGAATGAATATACATATACATTTTCAGTGTATAATAGAGAGATAGACTTGTGAAAAACCCCTTTCCTTAAGAAGCTGACTATGGGGTTTTGTTTCTGCTCTTTTTCTCTTTTTAATCACAGATGTTTTCCTTTTGCAAGCCTTGCTTTCTGCTGTCTTCAGCTACCTGTTTTCTCAAGTTATCTTGACAGCCACATGGATATCACCCAACTGGCTTGGCATGTTTTTGTTTCTTGGCTATGTGCAATTACTTCTTAGCAGACAGAGCAGGTTTGGGGTCACGGAGATGTGATATCTCTTCGATGGCCCTCACAGGCATGTTATCAGATCAGCCTTTGAGTGTAGACAACATAGTCAAGGATACCCAGCATGTTTAGTGATCTGTGTGGTGGGGGAGGAGGGCAGGCTGCTATTGATTTTGACACCTCAGGTAGAAAGGCAAGGTCAGCATTGTAAGTCTGATCTCTTGCCAGTTGGTTGGTTACAAAAATGACATCTAGCTAACTCAGCTTCTCATTATCCATGGAAGTGGAGATGGGCATCAGCTTGAATCATTTAAATCTATACTTTATCCTCAATTTAATTTCTCTCTTAAATTCAACCTCCTCTTCTATGGAATCTTTATCAGAGTGCCCCAGAATTTGAAACATGATTGAGCTTTATGTTTGTTTTTTGCTCGCACTGCCAAGAGGCAGTAGACTTAGGAGAGGAGCAAAGATGCAGGAGTCCTGGTTGATGCAGAGATGGGCTAATCAACTCCATGGTGATTAAAAAGAGAAAGTCTATCTTTTCATTTCAAATATACATAGAAAATCCCCCTATTTTCTATCAATAGTAGGGTCACTATCCACTTCAGCAGTGGAACTTGTGACTCTCCCTGTGTCACTTTTTGGGAGGTCCCATATTTTATCCAAAGCTGTTTAGATCAAGGAAACTCAAGCTCAGAGAAGTTATGATTACAGTTTGCTGAGAAGCTTCGATTTGAACCTAGATGAATTTGAGAACAAAATCCTTGCTTATTCCACTGTCCTATAACTTAAAGATCATTGCTTCTGAATTTAGAATAGTATAGTCTGAGTACGTGGACTAAAGGACATGGGGTGTGTGTATGTGTGTGTGTGTGTGTGGGTATGTATGTCTGTTTGACTATGGGGACTGTGGAATGGGGGGAAGGAAGCTAGAAAATTGATTTGTGTGTTGAGCAAGGAGGGAGATTGTTTTAAAAGTATTAAAATGTATTAATTTTGCTAAGAAATATAGAAGTTAATCTGTCAAAAATGATACATTTTCCATGTGAAAAATATTTCCATTATTATCATGACTATTATTATTTGAGATGTCGTAATTATTGCTATTACTATGATGATGGCGGCTTTGGCTAAAACTGTTAGATGGAGGACCTTAATTGCAATCAGAAGGTTGTAAGGGGTGCATGGTATGAGATGAAAGGGAATAATACATGTGGTTTAGTGGCCTCAAGTTCCAATCTCCTGTCATAGCCACAGGTGTGGTACTGCCATGACTGGTCAGCTGTCCCTTCTCTGGATAATATGGGGTGAACAAGTGCCACATTCTGTCTCTCTGCATCTTTTGTACTTCAAGTTGACAGTTGAAAAGGAGATTTAGGTGCGTGGATCTGTGTACACATTTTTCATTCCACCACTGTGCTTCTGCCAGCGAACCCCAAATCAGCATTCTGCACACGAGAAAAGCTTAGGCACCACTTGTAAAGTTCCCGTGGACATCACTACGTCCTCGGTTTTTTCCATTCTTTTTCTCCTACCGCCCGTTTCCTCTTTTCTGTGACACCCTTTGCTCCTCTCTGACCTTCTAACAGTGGATTATTCCAGGCTTCCTTTGCAGGAAGAGCACAAAACTAGCCCCAAGGAGGAATTCAAATAACACGGGCCTGAAGCACTTCTCCAGATTTAGAGGTTCTAAATACCATTTAAGAAGCCCTGGTGGCACAGTGGTTAAGCACTCGATTGCTGGAAGGTTGGTGGTTGGAACCCACCAGTGGCTCCAAGGGAGAAAAGGTCTGGTGATCTGCCTCCGTAAAGATTACAGCCTTGGAAACCTATGGGGCAGTTCTACTCTGTCCTGTAGGGTTGCTCTGAGTAGGAATTGACTGGATGGCAACAGGTTTATGGTAAACACCAGATACTCTAATGGTATTTCTTTTCTGGGCTGCCTCCCAGAGAAGTGGATTTAGTGAGAAGAGTGCCAATGGGCAAGATACAGAATAAAAAAAAGCCTGTTGCTGTCTAGTCGATTCCAACTCATAGCGACCCTATAGGACAGAGTAGAACTGCCCCATATGGTTTCCAAGGAGTGCCTGGTGGATTTGAACTGCTGACCTTTTGGTTAGTCACCGTAGCTCTTAACCACTACGCCACCAGGGTTTCCAAGATACAGGCTAGGATGTGGGAAATGATGTAGATCTGGTACCCTATGTGAAATATTCTGGTACAAGAAAAATCTAGGTTCTCAATCTTTGGAATTAAACATGATGAGAATTGGAGAATGTGTTTTGAAATTTGAATGCAAACACTGCAAGATTCATGACTGAAAAACTTATGTTTGAGTCTTTGAAAATAAGTCAGTCAAAATTTTTATTCAGTGTAAATTCTTGAAAGGCTAAAAGCAGGGACAGATTACCCGGCAAGTAAGGTATGTAGAGGCTTACTTGTGCTTACTAATCTGTAGGACCCAGTTTCACCTGTTTTTCACCAAACCCTTGTGAAATTGTGCACTACAGATCAGTAAGTAAACACAAGTAAACTCGTACATATCTTGCTTACTGGTTAATCTGCCCCTGGCAAAGAGATTTCTGCAACTCCCTTCTCTGTTGTTACTGACTCCCCCAGCCTGTCTAGGGCCTTTCACTCATGCAGAGGCTTCAGAAGGTGAGGCCATATTGCCTGGTGGGGAAGGTCTTGGTTCTGGGGTCGAGCAGGGCTGGGTTGGAATCCAACCTCCACCATATGCCGATTGCATGATTTGGGACTAATAATCTTTTTGTGTCTTAGTTCCTCCATCTGTCAAAGGACACTAAATACCTATGTCATAGAGTAGTGAGAGAAAATGATGTGAAGTGTCTAGCATGGAAACTCTTTCAGTGTCGGCTCTTAGCTTTACCATAGTATGTTTTTTTATGCCCAAAAGAAGAGTCTTAGAGGCTCTTACCTTTAAATTAGTATTTAAAAATATTTTACCTTTTACCAACAAATATTTGAGTACTTGAAGTGATTTGTTTTTCCTATTGTCGGAGTATAGTTTTATCATACTTCTGAAACTTGTATTTTCTCTTTATTAAAAGCTCAAAATTTATTCATCCTAATATATTTATTTGTCTCCTACCGTTTCAATCCGTTATACATACTGTCACTATGAGTCCGAACCAACTGGATGGCACCTAGCAACAACAACAACAACCATGGTAAAGGCACTGTGGGGGATACAACGATGAGACATGGCCTGTGTCTTCAAGTCAGTAAAAGAAATAAGACAGGCATGTACAAAGACTTGTTCTTCTGATGTCACATGTTCTCAGCTGTGTTGCCCAATTAGGGTCCATGTCCTGGAGCAGTCGAGCCAATGAAACGTACTCCAAGTCAGAAAGAGAAAGTTTATTAGGAGGTGACACCAACGGGGAGTCTGGCAGCAACACAGGCTGTCTTTATGAAGTCCCGAAAGGCAATTTTACATTAGAGTTTATATATGATTTTTACAAGAGTTAGAAGTGTCTTTTGGCACATCTGCCACAGATGGCTGGATGAGTTGCACATTGCAAGATAACTACAAGAGACTCCTTATCAGGCTAAAGAGATACATACCAGACATCTCTTTATCAGGCTGAAGATTTACAGACCAAACATCTGGGTTCTAATCTCCATGTGGGGTGTCGTAAGTCACAGGTGGCTGGACAGAGCAAAACAAATTTATTAACAAAGGTATGCAGAAAGGAGAAGGCAGGCAGAAAAGAAAACTTGTAGGTTCATCATGGTGTTAGTTATGTCAAGCTCTCAATTGCCTGTTTTGAAAAGGAGAAAACATGCTGTATTAGGGTCACAGCTGGTCATAACATCTTGTGATACCTACACTGGAGCATCTAATGTTGCCATCTTATATTTCTTTCTCTTACCTAGAATAAGCTTCTTGAGAGCAGGAACCGTGTCTTTTTTTTCTTTTTAAATATTTTATTGAGTTTTTGGTGAAAGTGTACACAACAAGTTAGGTTCCCATTTGACAATTTTCACACAAATTGTTCAGTGACATTAGATACATTTATCACTATGTGTCAATATTCGATTTGTGTTCAGTTTGTTCCCCTTTCCAGTATTCTAGTTTCCCTGCCCTCTTATCTTCTCATCTTTGCTTTTGAGTAATTGCTGAATTTTGGCCTCATACTGATGGTTTTTAAGTAGAGCACTGATCTTACAGGTAATATTCTTTATTTTGTGTGCCACTTGGCTATTTTGCTAAAAAGTGATCTCAGGGGATAGGCTCGGTTCTAGGTTTAAAGAGTGTCTCAGGGTGATAGTCTCAGGGAGTCCTCTGTTCTCTACTATTCCAGTTTTTGTGGCTTTTTTTTTTTTAATATGAATTTGAGT